TAATCTTAATTTCTTGTATCATTCATCTAGCACTTAGAATAAACAGAACAAGTTCCTAGTTTGTTTACACTTAGAACACTGTTATTTTTATTTTCAATACTTTATAGACTTTTTCAGTAGCAGATGATTCATGATTTTGATAGAAACTCAGAAATGTTTTTCTGATTTTTTTTTTTTTGTGTGTTTCTTGATCATTAGTCATACACATTCTGAACATTCCTCTGAACATTCCTTTGTTTTCTGAAAATTAGCTTTTGCAAAATCTTGTATAAAAAGCAATATCAAAACCCAGTGATTTTAAAGTAACAGAAACCTACACATGCGCCTGATTTCAAAAGGATATTATCTCAGTTCTGTCTGTAGGAAAGTAATACATTTGTATTGTATTGTATGGTAAAATACATGCCCAAATTCCATGAGCTCCAAAATTACAAAATGTTAAAAGGTTTCTACTTTTGCCTGAAAAATAACTGTTGATTGACAGTAGAAGTATTTGATTTTGGGGTTTGTTTGTTTGTTTGTTTGTTTTTAAGGATTCTCATCGTTTTGGAAAAAACATCCAAAAAGCAATGGTTGACATCATGGGTTTATTTAACCTCGGTAAAAACTGTACAAAGTGAAACACTTCCTTGGTGCCAAGCAATCTCCTCTTGTTGGGATGAGAACTCTTCTGCACAGTGAACTAGAGCGAGGTCTGTCAAACAGTAGCTGGCGAAGAAACTGGTCAACACCTTCTTAAACATCTATTAAGACTTTAGCAGTGTATTAAATTTTTCTTTTTTTTTTTTTTAGTAGTTTGGAAGAGTTTATTTCCATAAAGGATGACTTTTGAAATCTTGTATGTTTATAGGGATGAAGCGTAGTATTAATGCATGAAGTCATGTATATTCTAACTTCTACAGTTTTCTCTTAATTTGTATACACTTGCTCTTTTTTGTTCTAAAATTAGTTTACTTCTTTCCAGAATCAAAGGGATAAAACACACTGACTTAAATACTAGAAAGAGTTAGATTTACTATGTATTAATAGCAGAATGTTCTTCAGTGTATCTGCTGCTTTATGTAAATGAGTGACAAAACTTGTGGCTGTTTGCCTTTTTTGGTTTTTTTTTTTAAGAGGTAAATTTTGGAAAACATACCAAAAAAAATCCCTGCTGCAACCCACCTTAACACACTAAGTTGTATAAATTTTATGTTTTTTGAAAAAAACCTAAACAAACAAAACCACCCAATCATTGGGTAGTAAAATGTGTCACCTCAATAACAGATATCACATTTTTTGATTGCTTACAGGCATGTTTGCGACACTGACCTTATTTCTGTGTAAATAAATGGACCTGTGTGCTTGTTCATGCAAGTGCCTTAGAAAAACAAAGATCCTTAACCTAGGAAAAAAGCATATGCTGGGAGTTGATTTTACACTGTTTTAGTGGTGAAGGAAATGAAGTAGTAGTAATGCAGATCTGGTTTTCAAATTACAAGTTAGGATGATGTGGCATAAGGAGACTTGAATATGTTGCCATATGGTGCAGTTTGGTTTAAAAGTCTAATTAAATGCTCCCATCTTAAATATAAAGATCAGTTCCTATGAAGTGCAGGACTAACTTTGTTTCAGATTTACAGATACTCACGTGTTTGTGTTGGTGAATGGTATTGATGGTCACTTGAAATAAGAGTTTCTGTGTCCCAGGAATTGTCAATTTAATTAAATGTACTGTGTTGGATAGTCTACAAAGCAAGGTTGTCTGTATAGGCAATTGCAATTTGCCTCCTTTCAGCCTGGAAGGACCACTACTACATTGCCAACCATCTGCATGAGAAGGGCAAACTATTAAAGCCATGGAAAAAACTCCAGAGTGGGAGAATCATGGCAGTTCTTAAACCCTTCCTGGGAGATGCCCTTGATCACGTAGTTTCTAAAGGATACAAGGGGAGAGGGGAAAGCTCTTTCACTGAAAAAGAAGCAATGGTGTTTCCAAGTGCAGAAATAAAATGGCTGCTGCCAAATGGAGTAACTTTGTGCATGATGCTTCTCTTCCACAGGCTTTATAGGTGTGGTAACTTTTTACATCCCTGCAGTGTAGTAGAGTGTACTTGTTAACACCACAATTTTTTTATTTTTATTATTTTATGTAAGATACATGGTGGTTAGTAGTACAGTGAATGGTGCTCCAGAGCTGTGCTGAGTTTAAAAGGCCCTTGGAGTGGATATAAAACTTCTCATTAGTCTCTGAATGTTTTCTGGCCAGTATTTCTAACTTTCTATGCCTCCTCACGTTTATTTTTACTCTGATCTAGCTAATAAAATATGAGGTGGGAGCCCTCAAAGATCCAAGATGCATACCTAAGCAACTGCATGCTTACAAAAATGTAGGAATCCACACAGGAATTGATCAAAGATGCTCATTATTTGGTTAGGGTACAGTATGTGGGAAAGGACACTTAGAAATAAGCCTTACTGTGGATGGCAGGCCTGGCATTTATCAAACTACTGCAACAATTTTACAGTGATCTGTTTTTGGAGCTGCAGAAATAATGCACTGGGGGTTTTGGGGGTTTGTGTTGTGTTTTGTTTCTGGTTTTTTTAATTGACCAATCTGTGCTTAAATTACCATTAGGGCATGATAGCTTTTAGGATTTTCTTTTAAAAAGAAAGGTTTAGATTTGACTCTCAGGTTTTAAGTGTTTCTAGTCTAATTGTAGTTAGTGCAGTTATCAATGCAATTTTACATTCTTGGAGAGTAACTATAATTGGCACAGAAAGCTGTTTATTGTAACTGTTTAAAACGTTTTGTGTTGTTAAATGTATCTTTTTAAATTTTGGAATAGATCATAATTCCTAAACAGATAATATTTCATTTCTTTTTCTTTGAAATGTCAGCAGCGTGTAAATAAAATATGCTTTTTGGATGTAAATCTTAGAAATCCACAGTGAATGTAGGTTATTAATAAATAATTTAAATCATGATGTTCAATATTGTGTAAATACAGTAAAACTGCTTGGGGTTTTTTTTTGCTCAAAGCCATAGGAATGTAACTGAAATTGCTTAGATTTGAATGAATTTTCTAGTACAGTGTACTTTATTGTAAAGGAAAATGTTCATATTCCAGTAAAATTACTAATTTGTTACTAAAACCTTGAATCATTGATTCTCAATTAGTGATTTAAGAGCTAAAAGTTGAGGTTGAGTTGGTGGTAAAAGTGAGGTTGGATGATAATAAATTTTTCTGTTTATTGAATTGCATTAGGAATTTGTGAAATAACTAGAATGTGTATTTTTCAAATTTATCTCAGCTATTTCATAGCAGAAATTAGGAAAGCATTAAGTCCATTTGGAAGGTACCATTCTTCAGGATTAATTCTGTTCCCAACTGAATATTCGTTAAAGGCTTGAGTCTTTTGAAGAACTAGGGAAGAAGTGTGTGCGTGACCTGGAAAAACATGGTTCTAATTCAGCCTTTCTACCAATTGTTTTCTCATGTAAAATATATTAATTTAAGCTAGAGGGGTTTTTTAATCTTGTTTAGTTACTTTATGTCTATTGTTGGTTATTTACATCCAACACTTCGTCTCTATTTTCTACTTTCTTCTGTGACTTCAAAAAATGAAATAAAATTTCACAATTACCACTACTTTGTGTTTACTGCAATGTTTAACATCTTTTGTATCTTTTTCCCAGCTCCCTTGCTGCAGTTTCTGGACTGACAAAATCATTGCTGTTAAATCCAGTTAGGAACAGTAGTAACAGACTATTGAGTTGGTTTGAGCAATGATTTAAACATGTCTTGCTAGTTAATAGGGAGTGTGTTAATGAAGGATTCTCTTTTTTGGGTTCAGTAGAAAGAAGAAACAATGTAGGTCTTACTTTAGATGATTTTTATTTTTTTCCCCATCTTCCCTTTGCCTGTTTTTCAGGGTGGCAAGTACAAGATGAAAGCATTAGAATAAAAAAACCTTCAACTGTTAGGTGAAACCTTTGAGAGGGGAGAAGGAAGAGTAGGGATATTTTTTCTTTTGTTTTGTTTTTCCCTGACTTCATTGGCTGCAGACCTGGGGCCCATGGGCTTGAAGATTGTAACAAAAAAATTGATTCTGGTTTCTTCTTGAATTAATTGTGCAGCACCTTATGGATGAGAGGTAGCTTGAAATTCTTTTGGGTGTCTTTAGCTGCTATGTTGTTTTTTTAAACACATAATATTTCCTAAAAGTGAAAACATTTAATGCATAAAATGTAAAGTCCAGGTTCAATTTCTGCTTTCAAGAAAAATATCTCTTAAGTGGCCATAGGTAGTGGCCCGGTGGGTTTAGTGTGTTTTCTAACACTGAAATCTTCATGGCATCAGGGTAACAATTCCAAGATTTACACAGTGATTTGTAGAAAGGACTCTTAAGGGCAGCAACTTGAGCCAACTTTTTCACAGAATGGTTGAGGTTGGAAGGCACCTCTGGAGGTTATCTGGTGCAATCAGCTGGTTGCCCAGGGCCACATTCATATGACTTTCTGAGTAACTCCAAGGATGGAAACTCCACAGGCCAGTGAAGCTGACAGTGAGAAAGTGTTACCGGATGTTCAGAGGGAAACTCCTGAGTTTCAATGTTTTGTCCTATCACTGAACACTGTGGAAAAGACCCTGGCTTCATATTCTTTGCACCCACTTCTTATCTCAAGGCTGCACAGTCCCACCTCTCTCACCCTCTCCCTATAGGAGAAATGCTCCTGTTCCTTATTCATTTTCCTGGCCCTGCGTTGGACCCTGAGCAGCCTGTCCATGGCTCTCATTCTGAGAAGTGCAGAGCTGGACACAGTGCTCTAAGTGTGGCCTCACCAGTGTTGCATAGCACTTCTACATGGATTAGGACATTAACCTCTGACTTGGTACCAGGGTCCTGGTTAATCTTTGACTCCTTGCAATGTGGGATAATTTCCAAGGGAATTTAAATAAACACAGAAGGAACAGCAACAAAAAAAGTCCCCCCAAACACACCCTGGTTCTTAGGCCATGCCTGCACTCTGCCATTGCCCCTGCCTGGACACGGCGTTCCAGCACGGACCCCACTCCGTTAACATTCTGGTGCACAGCTGTCACTGCCCACCTGGGGGAAGGTGAATTGCCCGGGGTACAACCAAGGATGTGCCCTCTGAAGTGCCTGGGATGCCCCAGGTAGGGCCTGTCACCTCCCCATCTGCTCTGGACAGAAGGGTGGGGAGTGGGAGGGCATCCAAACCCTCCCTATCCCTCGCTGCACAGGTCCTAGACCAGTAGTGGTTGATGCATATGGGCAGAGAGATCTGAATCTTTGAAGAGCTGTCATATCCTGGCCTAGTTCAGGGCCCATGGGGACCTTGACCCTCCCAGTGTTGCCTTAGCCTAAATCCAAAAATAGTAATAATGAAAGCGCAGGTGGATATTGGCCTGTCTTTTTGGTGGCGACCTTGTGTTACTCTGGGTAGAGGTGCTTTGGCTTGTGTTGTTGGCAACTGGCAATAGTGACATTGAGAGTACAGATAAGGTTTGGTCTTAATGCCCTATGTCCCCAGGGAAGTGGTCACAGCACCAAGCCTGACAGAGTTCAAGAAGCTTGGACAACACTCTCAGGCACATGGTGTGATTCTTGGGGCTGTCCTGTGCAAGGCCAGGAATTGGACTTGGTGATCCCTGTGGATCCCTTCCAACTCAGGATATTCTATGATACTGACACAAATTTAAAACAGTGTTATTTCAGCTAAGTGTACTACGTGATAGAGGGTTTTTTTGACTACTAAAGCCAAATAGCGAAATTCTGATTCAAGTCTGAATGCTGTTAATGCGTTTAAAAGTTACAAAGAATGCATTCTTACGGTAAAAGCAGCTTTTTTTTTAATTGGTATGGTGGCCTGTATGTTCTGAAAGTTAGATTCAGAACCCAAAAGAATTCTTCCAGCATTCTGTTTTAAAGTTTCTCAGTTACATGTTAATTAGGGTAATCTTCAGTATTATATATATGTGTGTGTTGTTTAGTTAAGAATATTTCATTCACTTTCAGACAGAAAAACTATTCAAAATACTGAAATAGGAGATTTGTCTTCGATAAAAAGAACAAATATGAACCACTTGATAGTCTGCCAAAGACTTTAGAGAATCAGATATTGCTTCATTTAAGATCAGTAATAAACAGTGGACTCGTAACTGAAATATGTAGTCAAAATAGTCCTGTTCTGAAAACTTTAACTGGAAATTGCAGTAATGAATAATTTTGTTGGAGTAGGATTGGCATCTAGTCAAGACAATAATTTGTGCACTGTAAATCTAGGAGAGACTTTGTTAGATGGCTTTAAGTATCCACTTAACATTGAAAATCAAATTACAGTGGTAAAAGTTGAAGTACATCCATGTAGAAACAACAGCTGTGATGAATATCTTGAAAAGTACAAGGAATTAAATCTTTCAGAAGAATCTGAACATATGGAGTCAACCTTGTCTGCCTTCAAATTGTATCCACTTTCTTTCTTCTGTATCAATGCTGCATTAAAATTTCAGTCTTCCAACTTCAAACATTTCCTCTCCTGAAGGAACAGTCAATGAAAATGTTGAAATTATGCCAGTAATATTAAGTGAAATAGGAATGTTATATATTCATGATTATTTGTGACTTAAACGTGGGAAATTGCCACATTAAAACTTGTATTTGGGATCCACATAATGTTTGAAGTCATGTCCTAAATTTTCTACTAGAACAAACTTAGTAGTAAATACAGAAATAAATTTCTGGTTTATATTGTCAGAAATAGCATACACTGTGAACATAAGATTTCAACTGCTGGGGGGTTTGTCCATGTTATGAACCATATTTTAAAATGGTTGAGTAGTTATTTTGCTCATTAAAAACATTACCATGTCACAAATACACCCACTTTGGTTCTACATATTACTGTCTGTATTAGCAACTATTAGACAATTGTACAATGTGCAAATAGGATACTAACTTCTGTTCTTTACTTCCACAGCTGACACAATTTTCAGCTTCAATTTTATAGTCCTAATGAGTTAAAAAGTAATTTATTTGCGGCAGTAAACTGTAGCTTCTATTGTTAAATCTCCATGGGGAAAGTACTTTTGTAAAAGAGAGGAGTTTCCCATTGCTTACCATGTCTAGCAGTTTTTCTGTGTAGTTGGAAGTTACATTTTCTAAGCTGGATCAATTACTGTCTTGAAAAGTCCACAGCATAAAACTTCTTGTGGGGCTCACAGGACCAAACCCACTTGCTTGATGCAGGCTATCCATGTGTGGAATACCTGTGTGTCCTTGCATCTTTGTTGATGGCCAAAGAATATCTGAAGAAATCTCCAAATTCTAAGTTAGCACTGTGGCTGCTTCTAGAGGGGCACTGAGATTTTCTTTGAGAAGCTGTCTTGAAATAATTGAGCATACCAGTTGACTTCTTTTCCATGTAAATGTTTTGACAAACTGTGCTGGTCTCAAATTTAAAAATCCAGGGCATTGAAAAAAAACCCCAAAACTCACAAAAATCACTTAGTTGATAAAAAGTTCTGATTTTCCCATGCAGTATCCCCCTGAGGTGCCAGGATGAAGCAAGGTGGAAGCTTCAGGGCTGCCTGTGCAGGAAACCTTCATCACAGAAATCATTGCTGCACTACCTAGCCCAGTGGGTCTTCCCAGTGTCATTTCATCCTGAGATGCTTGAAGGGTGCTGTTGACAGTTACCTTATATGTTTTGGTTTTCTTCCAGGTTTCTGATTATGGTTATAGTTTAAAAGTATCTCTGGCTTGGAAGGTTCTTTACACCCATGCTCAATGTTATCAGTAGTTCTTTAATAATTGAAACCTTCAATCTTTTGAACTGTTAATAAGATTTAAAAGACTGATGGAAGCCTCTAGATAATAAATATGTGATTAAGGTGTAACAGTTGCTTTCTTCAAAGTCAAGTTGAAGATAATGAAAGTTTGTTAGTCTCTGTACAAGGAGCTAATTTAGAAATTTAGAAAGATTTAGAAAAATCTTTCCGACCAACTCCTAGTATCCTTACAGTTTAGCACACTGTATCTGCATGTTCCCTTAATCTAACCTGTTTCTTGAAGGTATTAGAACGAAATTCTGATCAGCTTATCATTTTATTGAAATAAAGAAAGCTGATTACCGGCTTCTACATTGCTTGCTTGCCTTCCTAAACTGCTGCCTATATTATATAAAGAGGAAGCACAGCACACACAGGTGGAGAGCAAATTGTCAAGTTCAAACAATCTCAATTCTAACTTGAAACTAGAAAATAGTTGGTTTCTGTCTTTGTTCCATTTTCTGTTTTTGAAAATACAAATGTAGGTAATAAGTATGATCCTATTATAGTCGTAAATGCATTAGATCTGTACCAGGACTGTATACTGAACAGAAAAAACGGAAATAATATTCAAGGTATATAATGCTATAATGCTGAACAGGCTGCAGCATTTATGTGCTTAATTATGTCATGAAAATGTAAATAACTTCCCATTTTCAAGGTCACTTTCAATCGGGTTTTTTTTTAATTCATTTGGCATTTTAAAAATTAATCATTTAATATATAGAATAGTTATAAGTAAAAAATTCTCTTTTTCAAGTGTACATATCATTCATCATTCCAAATGTACATAAGAATAAATGGTTTTGTTTTGAAAACATCAAAGACCCAAACTGAAGTCTGTTTTTCCCAATAAGACTGTTACAAATAACTATTAAGTATTTCTTTCACAAGAATGTAATGCTGTAGTGACGTCAAAATCTTTTATTGATGCTGCAATGGAGTTCTTGATATAAAACACTAATCTCTCTCTAAATGAGACATGCTTTATTTTGTGTACTAGAACATTTTGGTGATATCTGTGGTTTACCTCAGACTAGTGCTTCTGTGTATGATGAAATAGCAAGTATGCATGTAAGATTTTGTTGTTGTTGGAAGAATCCATCCGACCACTGGGATTTATTCTAAGTGTCAGAGGGTAAAAGGTAATTTAAAACATTGTCCTATCTGATCTCTTCACAAAAGAAAGGAAAAGAAAAATGTTGCTCTGTAGATTTCCAACACTGCCACTTTATGGAGGAAGGCAAAATAGCATCTGGAATTTTTGCCTGCTTCTGTTCCTCAAGGCTCAAGTCTGGTTGGCTCCTGTCTGCCACTTGCTACTACTGGTTCCAGTTCAGGACAGTTAGGAAGTCTTCTCCTGAGGCAACCTGAACACAAACTGTCTCATGGGACTGCACCAAATAACCTTGAGCAGCTGATTGATTTTTGAGCCTCTTTCCCATGTGCAGTGTATATAAAGGAACAGAGCTGACAGTGCAAATCTGGCTTTAACATTAGCATTCCCTGCCTATGGAGAGATGTTCTTTGCCACTTAATTATTCTCTTAAAATGCTTGGAATTTCAAATATAAATTCCTAAATATGAGCAAAACAAATTATAGAAATTCAGGTATTTAATAAAAGACTTCTCTGAAAGGTACTGGAAATTTATAAACAGGTTTTTCAAGGTTGTCCATTTGGTGTTTAAAGTGTGTACTGAGAGGGGCAAGGCTTCGTCTGGAAGTGTGACTTCTGTCAGGATGACACTGTAATGAGTTAATAGATTGGCACGATGGGTGAAAAACTGGTTTTCAACAAATGTGAATGGCACCACATCTATGATGGAATGCCATAACACAGTGGTTCATTTTGGAAACGATCTGATTTATAGGTATAGATGAATTTGCAGTCCAGTCTCAGATGACTGCTTCTTACTTACCCTAAATCCCAATTATCCTCTGTCAAGTTATATAATTCAAGATGAATTCTTGTTTTACATAATTTGCTGTGACTATTGCCTAACTTCTTCAGGGCCAGTTAGATGACGCTTCATGGTGTTGGAGACACTGAACCCCATTGTAACTGTGAAGTGTGTTACTGTTCATTGCCATTCTTCAGGAATATTTTTACTTGAAATAGAAACAAAAGTCATTCTGCCATTGGTAAGTAAATTAACTATTCTCAGTATTAGGTTTGAATATGATCCTCACTTTAAAGTACATGATTTATGCAGATAAATTTTAAAATTTATTGTGTTTGCTTGGAATTTAAAGTACATTTTAAAGTGTGCCTGTTAAGATTTAAAACTTTTTATTTCAGGCTGAGGTAAGAGGCAGTTAGTAACATTACTGAGAATCACCAAGACACAGCAGTTTTTCAGAGTTCAAATGTTGGTAAGTCTGACTGCATTGCACAGTGTGGTGAAGGAATCCAGATGTTCACCCAGGAATTATTCCAACTCTGTGGTAATTATATGCTGTAACTGATAGCAAAATTATATGCTAGAGAAAATTAACTAATTTGTACCACACTAGCCTGGAAAGTCCCACTTAGTAAGTGCCATATTAAGAGTAATAAGGCAGTCCTTTCCTTGGACTCACAATCTAAATTTTATCTAGCTATAGTGCTACTTTTCATATACATATATATATATGTATGTATATTTATATAACATGTTGCTTTCTAGTTAACATCTGAAAAAAAAAACACCTATGTGAAGATTGGAGATTGCTTCTTCCAAAGGAAAAGTCTCAATTTAAAATCACAACTAAATAAATCAAATGAAACATGAACAGTTACAATGGTATGTTGAGGAGCTACAGTGTTAGATCTCAATAGGTGCTTCAAAAAGTAGATTAAAATTAAGGGTCAAAAAGCAAACATCTTAATGCTCAATTCTTTGAGAGATTCCAGTCTGTGACTATAAAGCTTTATAGGATGGGTGGCACTCTTATGAAAGCTTTTATATCTATGTGCTTATAATTACAGTTTCTTAGATTAAAACTAATCATTATTCATTACAGGTTGTCTGCCTGTTGGAAGTAGGTACTCAAATACTGTGTAGAAACAGTTGGCACACAAAACCTAAAACTAGTTCCTCTAATTCCTGAGTATCATGACCAAAATAATTATCTTCAATTGGGTACAGTAAAAATGAAAATTATCTCTAATCTGTCATAGTATATCATAGATTCTTAATTTACAATTGCATGTGTTTATGTTCTTAAGCAGCAACAGGGGGAGATGAGCCAAAGGTAATGCAGATACCACCACTTAACATTTTACTTCATTTTATAAATGAAAAATTACTAGGCCCTGCAGTGCAATAAGAATGATGTAATGGATATGTTCAAATTATTGAAAGCTTTTAATATAGAGATTACTTTCCATATAAAACACATTTAGCACAAGTTCCTGCATACATTTGCATTTACCCTTGTTTGCCACCAAGTGACACTGTTTCTCTATAAATGAAGAGCAGCATTGAGTGCTATGGGTACACTTTGGACTTGGAATTCAGAATGTCTCAATAATATTTAGATAACTATGTTAAAAGTGGTTTCTGAGGTCCTAAAGTTAATGCTATTTCGATGGAGTAACACATTTTCATTTTAACAGCAGCAGAGAATTTGAGTGTAGTTTAGTTTTAATGTATTATTTATTAATTATTTATTATTAATTTATTATTTAATATTATTAAATATTTCTTTACCTAAATATAGCTTCCACGAAAATATTATTTACATGCTTTATTTAATTATTTATTACTGTAATTTTATGTGGTCTTTTATTCTGATGGCAGTGCAAAAACAAAGTCTGTTAATATTAAGCACCATACAAGCACAGATATTGCTCTCAATAGCAACGGGTGCTGTGGGTGAACATCTCTCAGCAGATGCTCCAGGTGTGCACCTTGTTTGCTTGTATTTGTCAGAAACCATCAGAAGAGTAAACCAGGCATATTCAAGTTAAAGATCATGTTCCTGTATAAAATTCAAACTGCCATTCATTTGCTGTAATGCTAGGGAAGAATAAGCTGAGAAAGAGTGTGCTGGCATATCTTTTTTAGTTTTTATTTGCTTGAGCTTTTGTCTTTTTTAAGTAATTAAAAGTTTCTAGGGACTATTCAGCTTTAGAGTTAAGATGTCCTTTGGTTTCTTGGGTTTTTTTTTCTTTCCTTAGGTGGGAAGGAATTAAATACAAGTTTAAAATTCAACTTGTAATCTTACAATGACCAATGTTTGGTTGTTTTTGCATAAGCTTGAGTGCTCATTTATTTTCTGCAGTTCCTCACCAGGAGTTACACCAAGACTTACTCTGACAGCTATGGTTTTCACCATGGGTTTTTAGTAATCTTTTTTCATAAGCTGAAGACCTCTGTTTCAGTTTCTCTCACAGAACTATGGAAATTTGTAAAATAAAAACTCAGGATAAATATGTTTATTTGTTTTTGATATCTCTCTTATTTTATCAAAATCTTTTAAGTCTATGGCATTTGAATCTAAATGTACTTAATGTCATAGAGTAAAAGCATCCTATGCTCAGATTCCCAGCTGACAAAATGGTGGTGGATTCTTCTATTAAGGTTATTTTCATGTGGTCAGGTTTTCATTCTTGGTTACTTTTGCAATGAGCAAAACATTTCTCATAATCGAGCCATTTTTGTTTAAGGCCTGTCTTGATAGAAACCCAGAAGCTTTCTTACCAAAGACTGGGAAAAGGAAACTAGGAGAAATTAAACATAACCATAACAAAGGATGTAATTGCAAGTGCTCAGAATGCCTCAAGAATTATTGTGAGTGAGACAGGTGAACTTTCGTCTTGTCAGTTACTACCTTAACATTTACTAGATTCTGTAACTAGCAGAGGCTAAAAATAATCACTTGCCTTCTTTCTTTACATTTCTCATCATAAAACTTTTCCAACATGGGAGGCAAAGTCTTTTTCATGTCATTTCTTTAAAGAACGGAATCTGGCTAAAGTAGATCAGCTAAAATTTTCAGGATCTGGTGCTCTCAGCCAATCCCATGCTCCAGAAGAAATGAGAAATGATTTTCTGCTAATCCTTTCTTCTGTGGTATTTTGTTATATTGCAGAGTTATCCACAAATTGACGGGAGGACTGACTTGTCCATGTACAGAACATCAACCTTCACAGAGATTCTTTGGAAAAAAACCTGTCTTACTTCCTTAGTTGATTGATAGTGATAGTCTTGCTGAGTGTCCAAGACAAGCACATCTAGAATAAGTCCCTGGTGCTATGGCTCAAATGGTTGTTCAAACGTATGTTTAATTTAAGATTTATATAAATTTTATTCTAAGTATTCTGCATTTACCTGGATAAAATTATGTGTTCTCCTATTTGCAAATGAATTGGTTGCAAAAATCATTAAGAAAGTCCAGATGAATAAAAACAGTTGAATGTGTGAAACTACATGGACCTTGGAATCAATGAAGGGAACAGCCCAGTTTTGACATCAACATTTAAAATGTTACCAAAACTGAAGAAAGATGGGTGAATATTTGGAAATAGTGCATAATTCATTGGTCTGACTTCATTAAGTGTTTGTATAACCCTTATCATAAGTATCTAATAAATAGGGACTAAAAGGACAGAGGGCTTATAAGCAAGGAGTCGCTTCAGATAGCATTTGCCTTTTTCTTTCTATAAATCAAAAAATACCTAAGGCTGAGACTATAACTATCCCTTAAGAATATAATATACAGAGTTCAGGGATATAGTAGTAGTAGTTCTGCTTACAAAACAGCAGTTACTTATGTATTGATCACATATTTCATTCAACCTTTTCCCCCCTTAGCTACTTTGTTTTTCCTTCAGTTTCTCTGTTCTTGAATTTTTCCACGTGCAGGAATTCATTTCTAACAAAACCTTGACCAAAGAAGTATTAAGAAAAGTGTATGATTAATGTTTGTGATGTTCAATTAATAAATGTGTTTATATCAGTGCTTCTTTCCCATTTCTTCTACCTTTGGTCCTGCTCCTGTTGATCTTATTTGTCTTGGCAATTTGGATTGTAAAAGACCAGACTGTCCTGATGTTGTTATGTGTTCTAACATAGTTGTAGCCTAATCTCTGTTTTTGCTTGGTTTATAGTCATTTACCTAATAAATAGAAGCACCTGTTAATAAACTTTTAAAATTGATTAAAATATCTCTTAATTGATTTTAGGCAATTGATATATTGCCCTGCTCTCCACAATTTTGCTATTTAATGATTTTACTTTGATCTTTCATAGGAATGATTTCATTGACTTCAGTGAATTCTTTCTGAATTATCCTGGTGTAAGTGAAACCAGCACCACACCCAGTGTTTTTCCGAATAACTTAATGCTGTAGAAAGTTTAGTATATTTTTTAGTATATTTTTTACTAAAACAGATTTTCTCTGTAGTTAAGGCCTTCTGGGCTGATTCTTTAGTCTTTACCTAGACTTTAAAGTAAGTTTAATTTGAAATTGGATATTTATGTGGGTCAAGATGTAGTAAAAACTGAGTAAGAATTTGCTATCTTCGTTTGGTTGTTTTATGAATTGTGATGCAATTTCATTGTAGACAAATCTACTAAGTTCATTGTAGACAAATATACTAAGTTTAGCTTTGGGTCTTCTCTGTGTTGGCAACTTATTTCTGTTGCCTTCAGGTGGTGTATTTTTTGAAAACAGAGTAATGTTGTCAGTATGCTTGGTATTTAGTGTTGGGAAAAAAAAACATACCAGGGTTTGTTCAATATTATATTTGTTAGATTTATGAGCCTCATAAAGAATAGGAAGAAGATGACCCCCTCTTATCTCCTACTGTAAAGTAAAAGAGTTTGAGATTGGAAAATCTTTTATGTACATAGCATATAGGATTGAAATTTGCTGAATCCTACATTTGCAATCCAGTTTCCCCTAAAGGCTGGAGTTATTCATTTTTCTTATGTAGACATTTTCTCCATGAAATTTCTTCCTCTTCTCACTGTTACAATAGTAGCAGATTTTCTTTTCTCTAACAAAGTAAACTATTTCCTGACATATTTATGGAAAAGAAAAAAAACTAAAATGGTCATCTAAATTAATTGATAGATAATATAAAATGCTTTTTGGGTTAAGAAGTTATGCTAAGTTAAAAATACATTCTTAGGTTTTTTGGGCATTTATGCTTTAAATTGTAAAATTATTCTCCATGTCCTGTTGATACATAAAAAATTCTTTACAGCAGGTGAGATTGCATGCTATTTTAAGATTTCGTTTAGTACAGGGCAGGGTTTTTTTATTGCTAGGAGTTGATATGTAAATGGATTGCAGTTTATATCTCTGTTTTCAACAACTGCTGCTGGAGGTTGCTGAAGGCCACAGGGGAAAATGGATTCTGAAAGTGCTCCATTATGGCACTATCTGTACATCTCAGCCCTTCCTGGGCCCTTCAATTCCTAAGATGATTTCTCTTGGTTTTGGAATAAAAGCATTATCTTAAAAAGCATTTGTCCCCAGATGAGGTTACTGTGAGCTCATGAATTAGCAGAGCACACAGAGGCTGTAGGGTCAGTAGACACTCCTTAAGGAAGCAAAGGTTGAAGAAAAGCCTGTATTGCTGAAATCATGCCTTGAAATCAAATCTTAGAAATGAAGTTACTGAAATTCCCAGTAGGGGTGAGTTTCAGTAAGATTAACACTAGTAAACAAGAAACTAGGGTTAGGACTAATGACACAGACATGGATTAAAAATAGAAATTAAGAATAGAAATTAAAAATTAAATTTAAAATTATTGAGAGGAATGGAAAAAAATACATTTTGAGAGGAACTGATAGAATTCTTGAAAAAACAAAATTCATGTAATACAATCTCATCTCCAGATGTATCTTAATTTGAATACACACATCAGGAGACAATGCCATAATATAAAATGTCAAGTTACTAAGCCCAAAAGAGAGATGAACTCAAATGATGAGGAAAAAAAGAAAATTAAGAAGAAAAATAATAAAATTTTGAGTAGTCAAGTGGTGGGAAAATAATATAGAGGAAAAAATCACAAGGGATATTTAAAAGAAGTAATACAGAGAATTAAAATGTAATCAGAGTGGAAATGATAAGAAATTTCTACTGCCAAAAGTAAAGGGTAGGAGAGCTACAAATAGCACAATAAAGGAAATGAATGAAGAAGATATGAGCTACAGCTTTGAGCAACATCCCTAGGCCCTCATCTCTGTTAAAAATGCTATATAATGCTGAGACTTTCTCTCAGGGTGCCAGCTAAGATGCCTTGAGGGAAGATTTCTGCATTTCTTATGTAAATTTTGAAGTCAGTGTATAAGTGAGATGGGCATAAATGAAATTAATAACAGTTTGATAAAAAATACAAGGCACTGGAATATGTAAGAGTTTACACTGAAGTAACAGAAACCCAACTACAAGATGTAAAAAGCTGAAATTAATTATCTTTTTTCATTATAGAGAGGTAAAACTGCTTTCATTTAATATATTCTATATTTCAGATGGTATAAATTCAGACTGTAAAAACACTCCTGGGTTCTGTGATGACTAGGATTGTAATTACATTCTGAAAACAAAAAAATAAATACAAAACAGTATATGATAATATATAATGTAATAGACAAGCCTAGCAGAAGCAATATTTTTAAGTGTTAACAAACTGAAAAACTCTCTCAAAGAGAGTTATATATTCAGTAAACAAAGCTAAAACTAGCTCTTACAAATGATGGTTTTTGCAGTCAGTAGTGAAAGTATTTGAGAACAAAATTAGCACAGTCATAATATTTCTTCCTGAAACAGTCAGGTAGGAAATATGTATCTGTTTTTGTAACTAAGTGTAACACTTCTGTACTAAAGAAAAGTTGGTTTCATAACAGAAGTGAAAACTGTTGTGGGGAAAAGGGCACCAGAAATCCAGTCCTGAGGATGTCAAGAGATTGACACCTGTACAGAAAAGATGGAGAAGAAAAATTTTAACTGAATAGAATCAGAACATGTAGGTACTATATAAAGGGGAAAATAGCTTTTCAAATAAGTTGATGATTTGCCTTTCTGTTTCATAGAAGGATTTTCAAAATTAGATACTAATGAATGGAACTTCTTCAGATGACTTAATGTGAATGAGAAGATCTAAGCAGAATTGCCTTCAGTCACTGCTGCTTCCTTTAGCAAAAGAAACCATGTGCCCAGCAAATAAATAAAAAGGGAAATGATCAGTAAGAGATGAAGCATGGATAGCTCTCTATAGCAGCTACTATGCTGTTCTTGGTTGTTCTTTTCACAGTATTTTATAACTTGTTCAATTTCTGAACATATATATCAGAAATATATTCACGTTTCTGAGGAAACTAGCAGGAATTTAAATGGGCATAAAGTCATGCATTACCATGAATTACTTACATTTTAAGCTTGCAGATAAAACACAAAAGCCATTTTGAAACTGTCAATTTGTCAGTCTCATCTGAAAGGAACAAGTATGTTCATCTTTTAAAAATATGTAAGGATAGAGATTATTTTGATAGGTACAATTGCAAAGTTATTTAAAGCAAATATTCTCATCAAATGAGAATTTTTCAATTTCAGGTTTTACCTACAGGCAAATTAAACGGTACTCTGAAGGCTTGGCAAATTGTAGTCAAGATCTTTGGTGCAAAAACCAGGGGTCAGCACATTAGGATTATTTCAGAGAGGTCTCTGAAAGAAGTTCAGACACTTCTAGGAGGTCTCTCTTGGCTCATAATCGTGGAGTTCAGCTGAAGGATGTTGTAATGTGGTATGTGAGAACTAACTGAAGGGTATGGATTGGTACAGAATAAAAGTTATGTGAGGAATGGAATTTCTCATATATATAAATAAATGAGAGATATATTGGATGAGAGAAGTGAAACACAATACAGTCCACTCCATGAGATATTTACATAAAAATTGAAAGCTGCTATTTGATGCCTTCCCTATTAGGTTTGGAGTTTGTCCCTGCTTGATTACACCAGGTGCCATCAAATCTATTCAACTATTCTTAAAGTTCTTAGGGATTAAATGTTTCCCATATTCTGGCAGAAGACCTCCTTCTCTTTTTACACTATATGGTCCATTTGAGAAGCTAACATATATGGACAGAAGAAGAAAAGGGTGAACATCAAAAGACCACAAATTTTAATAAAAAGCAGCATTCAGAGGAACATGAAAGCAAATGGAGATATGAGAGACACACCTCAGGAAGAGCTGGAGTAAAGTAACAAGGTGTAAGAAATAGCTTCTAATTCTGTATTAGTTTTGCATTGGTTTGAGGAACGGGGAGGGCAAAAAGAAAGATGTGAATTATATGGTGAATCAAAAGGTCCCCCTTAGTTACCAGTATTTGTTCATATCATACAGTTATAAAAAAGCTTTATACTCTTCTAGGGAATATTGGAAAGTATATTTTTAGTAGAGAGAGGAAGCTCTTTGTATTATTTTATAAAATGCCAATAAATCTCCATTTGGAATACTGCGTACAGTTCCGGTCATCTGTGCTCAAGAAAAAGAAAC